TCAAAATGTTTGACAAGGCTTGTGTGCCCGTCTACAATGGATCCTTGGTCTACATTTCTAGGCTTAATATTCACTATCTGTGCTCTAGCTGTAGTGGCCTTTTTTTCTAATCTTTTTCATATATCATGCTTTCTTTTTCTTACTTCATGGTTTTCACTATAGTGTTTCCTCTTTTAGCTAACTCTTATGTTCCCTTCCAATCTCAGATTAAATTCTACTTTTTCCAAATAAGGACTTTCCATCCATCAAACTAGATTTAATTTCCCTTTTATCCACTTCTGCCCTACCCTGTATATTTTTTGTAGCAGTCATCACAGGTCAATAAATCCTTTGTTCCCATAATCAGAACCTTCATGAGAATAGATCATTGTGGTCACCCTGGCATCTAGAACAAAGGCTGTTCTGAATCCAGCATTTGACAAATATGAAATAGATTCAATGGGCCACAAATCAAAGTAGTAACTTCTAATACAAATGTCTATTATATTTAAGCATATACACATTTCTCAAAATATTTAAAAATTACAGACGAACTAATCTGTAACATGGCTACAGAATGTTACACTAAAGTATGTCTTTCAGATTAAATCATGTAAAGTGCATATTTTGCCACAGCAAGAACGATCTTACTACAATAATATATGTGCAATATAACATATTGGACCTGAGGAAATGTCACAGCAATTAGCTCACCTTATCGGTTTTCCTAGTCATTCATATCATAATGTAGTTCACATAATACATCGTATCCGAAAGGTTAAGGGCAAAAGCCTGAGGATGTTGCCAAATTTACAACAGTATTTATAAATATTCATGAGCCTACAGCATTTCTTCAAGATGTTCTTTGACAAACTTTCCAGGAGAATTGAGACTTTGTCAAGGTTTCAAGAAAACATGATTGATTGTTCCAGTAGCTCATTGTAAATGTGAAGTATGGTTTTTGATAGAAGCTTCTTCTCATCACTGGAAGTTGTTGAAAGTCTTTGGGAGAATGTATGTTAATACTATTAGTAATTATTCACTAAGGATCCCATCAGGCCACTGTACCACAGGAAGTCCTCACTAATGTATCCTCGGCATGATCTCAGAGACTAGAACTTAAAAAAGCAATATGGAATTTTCAAACTGAATCCATTCCCACAAAACTTAAAAAATAAAAAAAAACACATTTATTTACACATTGTGCTCTGAAAACTCTACACATCTGGTTGATTATGTCACTAGGGCTTATGTCAAACCTTAGTAATGAAATGAGACTGTAGATGCACTGTGCAAAAGTCCTTAAGCAATACTTTCAAACCTCTGTATTTAATCAAATCCTTACTCTTTTGAATAAATAAGCGATAGGGGAATATTTTTTAAAAATACTAGCAAGGTTGATTAAATAATTATTACCTATCAGAAATTATAAATGATAAGGTTCAATGGAGAAGATGAAATGTGAAACAATCTCATATGCTCCTAGTAATAATACCATTTGATTTAATCTTTTTGGAAAGTATTTCACAGTATTCAATAAAAGCCTTAAAATGTTCAGATCCTATTATTTTGTCATTTCTCATATAGTAATGCATCCTAGTGAAGCAATCAGACTTATAGAAAGTGTTTATAGAGCATTATTACAATAATCAACAATTGGAAATATCCAAAGATAGGAGGATTAAACTATTAGTAAATTAATATGTCTGAATTTTTAAGTAATTAGAAATAATACGTTAAAGAATTTTTAACAACATGGATTTGCTAAAGTGAGGGAAAGAAAAAACAAACTTCCAAATTATACAAAAAATTTTATGAATTTTCTCTATATACAGCATGATATCAGTGATTTTAACATATGCATAGACAAACAGAATAAAAACTAAGATTATGAGATTTTAGATTTTAAGTGTTTCACTTATGTAATAAAAAAATCTCATGTTAGTACTTTTTAAGAAACTATGTTTTAGAGTAATTTTAGGTTCAAAGCAAAATTGAGCAAAAAGTTCAGGGACCTTTCATTTACCCAGTGACTCCACATATGCACAGCCTCCCACACTGTCATCTCCATGAACCTATATGACACGTAATTATCATCCGAGGTGTATAGTTTACATTAGGATTTACTATTGGTGTTGTCCGTTCTATGGGTTTTGACAAATGTTTAGTGACATCTATCCTTGATTATATTGGGTTGTTGGAAAAGTCATGATGCATTTTTGCAACAAAAAACACAGAAAAAATACGTCATGACTTTTCCAACAACCCAATAGTACCATACAAAATAGTTTTACCACGCCAAAATTCTTCTGTGACCCACTGACCCAACATTCCTACCCCACTAACCCCTGGGAACCACTGATCATTTTACCGTCTCTATAATTTTGCCTTTCCCAGAATGTCATATAGTCCAAAGTGTCATATAGTTAGAATTATACAGTATATAGTCTTTTCTGATTGGCTTCTTTCACCTAGTAATATGCTGTAAATGTTTCTCCACATCTTTTCATGGCTTGATAGCTCATTTATTTTTAGCATTAAATAATATTCCATTGTCTGAGTATATATAGGTACTCATGGGTGACGCAGGCTGGTTTCAGTTTTGAAATGCAGAATTATAAAACAGAATGCACATTAGTTATTCCCACACAAAACATAACAAGAGTTTAAGCTCATGCCAAGGGTATCTACAGAGCTATTGTACAATCTCTAGTTACAGCCCTTCCTTAAAAAAACTTTTCAGGCAATATCTACATTCTATATAAATTATGTTTTACTGAGATGGGCAAAAGTCAAAATAAAAGATAAACTAGTGTCTTACGTATTATAACCTGAGCATTAAATATAGTATATTAAAATATTTAATTATTTTTCATGAAAGTGTTTCCTGTTTGAGAGTCCTAAAACCACAAGGACAATCTTTTTCACAGATGACTGGAGGTTTTGAGGCAAGGGCTATGCAGCCTTGCTAGCTGTGTGTGGTGGTGAGACCAGGGAATTTGGTCTCGATGTTTCCTCCTCCAGGAGCTACTCACTTTTCACCAACCCCAAGGAGGATTGGATTTCACCAACATAATTGAACCTATGCATCTAGCTGCACTTGCTTTCTTCAAAAACAGATTTTTATTGTTTTGTCTTGTTTCCTTTTTCCCTAGTGACCATAACACTAGAAGGCAAAGCCTTGCTTTGCACATCATCCCAATCCCCATCACCTCAGGGAATGTGTCAGTGTGAGGTCCCTGCCCTGGAGACGAGCTTCAAGGCCTCCAGTGCCCACCCATTTGTGTTCTCGTGGGACATCTCATAATCTTGGGGTGGATGTTAAAGACATGGTATGCTGGGCCATAAAGTTCTAGAATTACCACTGTCATTCACATTTTAACAGACTTGGTTTAAGCTCCATTAAGAGGGATTCTGTAAATGGACCTTTACAATATCCCAAATGCCTATGCAAATTGATTCCTACAAGCCCTTACCATTTCCTCAGTATAAATCTTTTTTTTAAAAAAGAAAATGAAGTGTAAGTATTATGGTAACCCCTACCTAAACCAGTCTTCTGCTTTGATAAATGTAGCAGTAGTCAAGATGGTAAAACTAAGTCATTTCATCAAATACTAATCTGGGACTAGTGCTCTGAGAATAAAAGGCTTTAGGCGCCACCCTAGCAATCACCAAAGTAAATAGTTCCTGTGAAAATTTTTCACCTAATTTAATCAGTTAGAAGCTTCCTCGAAAAACTGTGTGTGCATGTGTGTGTGTGTGTGTTAATACACACACAAATATATATGAATGACAGTTGTAGCAGCTTTGAGTAATGGGAAATTCTTAAATATGCAGTTGTACAACTATAAAAGGATACCTACACAGCCTTAGCACAATTAACTGCATTCACTTTCATGCCCATCGGTCCAGTGTCCCTACCAGCAGTCAGTGTCATCCACAGTAGCTCAAATTCATCTTTAAGTTGGCCTGCAGGGAAGAGAGAATTCAGTAGGGCAAAAGGCAGTACAGGAAGTTGTATGTTTCAATCTTTATTGTATAGCTGTCCAGAGTTTTAATTGGGGTCTCATAAGTATGATTGAATCATTGGCTTTATATTTAAGCTGAGTCTGTACATCAGTCCCCAGAGGTCACCAGTTCAGGCTGGTATCTCATGGCTCAAAACTGCAACACTCTAATCCCATCTTGCAACTATTCACAGGCCCATCCTGAGTTACCTTGTTAGTATAAACCAAATTGTGGGCCAAGAGATCCAATATGAATAACAAAGATACTCCTGTCACTCAGGAAATCCCAAGGAACCAGCATCACAGGCCAGCTAAATTCTTTATTACACATTATTAACTCATTTAATTCTTTTTAACAGCCCTTTGAGGTATGAATATTTTCATAATTTTATAAGGCAGAGGGTTGCTAAGTAACTTACCCTAAGTCCACCCAGCTACTGAATTGACAGAAAACCTAGCTAAAAAACAAACAAATCTTAAAAAATAGAATTTCTATGCCCTAATTTTGTTTGAAACTCTGTCTTTCATACAAACGTTGGTTGCACTTCAAAAGGAATTAATTCATCATTCGATTAAAAATATTTATTACAGTATATTTTCTCTATTTTTATAGATTGATGTCACCTTTCAGTTTGAGGTGATATAAACCATCTTTTTCCATCAAAAAACAGCCAACCCTATATCCAACTAGAAACTACAAAAGTTAATAGGAAAAAACAAAACACACACACAAAACTAGAAAAGCATGGGCTGTCAATGGAAGTGTTAAAGTATCCCAATATTTACTGAGAATGTACTTTGAGCTAAATGTTGTAAACAATAAAAAATTAACAGGATCCCCTCCCTCGTGGGGCTTAGGCGCTCACTGAGGAAATCAGGCTAACAGTGCATGCTACAATTAGTAAACAATTAAGTATGTAATTATTTTGTACTGACTAAATATTAAGCACACTGGGAGCAGAGGGAAAGGCGAAAACCTGTGCAATTTCTCTGCTGCTAGCAATCTTACTTGGAACAGCAGAGGTTATGAAAAGGAGATAGTGATGTGGCTTTATGAGAGGCAGGGATAAGAAGTACTTTTAATTGTCTCTTTTGTTTCACAGTTCCATCTGCTGTGACCCCTCACATCTCCAAAGGTCTTTTATTCTTTCCTGTGCATCCTGATTTTTTCCTAAATTCTCTGATGAGATGGTGTTGCCCACTCCCACAAGACTGTTTATACTGACTGGAAGATGTGTTGTATTTGCAGGTAGTACTCACAACCATCCTACCATCCTGGCAAGTGCTACATGTGTAATGGCAGTTTCTCTCCATGACACCCAGTGTAGAGGACAACCCCCCTTGACCTCCACCTTCCACCATCTCTGACATCAGGAAGGATGCTGTTTGGAGGGGGAGGTAAGAATTTATGGGAAAGTGACTTGTAATTTTTTTTTCTAGGACTCTATCTTGATTCTCGTCAACTATCTAGGGGGATTATTTAAACTGAATGTGACTTATCTGAAGTTCTCCAAGTTTTAAAATTAATGTAGTGAAGCAATAGTTTAAGCAATGAACACCTATGCTTATAATATATATAATATATATATATATATATATATATATATTTATATAACACAGCTGAAAATAAAGTAAATGTGCCCAGCTAGCAAAATCTTGTATGCTGTATTAGTATAATCATAGGCATTCTAGTAATTTCCTCCATGTGATATTATCATAGACAATGTAAAGATGAATTTTATGCTAATCTCCATAAACAGTTTTAAAATTCTGCACTAATGATTTGAAGTTGGTTTTATAATTTTTAATACTTTATAAATGTTCATTTATGATTCTGAAAACTCTGATATTTTCTCTGTAATTTTCACATATATGTTCTTTTTAAAAGAGTTTCCTCAGACTACCCAACATATTGTTTCAACTGTTTCCTCTGTTTTTATAATGTTGAATGGATTTCTGTTTACTGCTTACATTCTTCACTGATATTTTGCATTTTGCCTTTTGACAGAAGTACAGAGAATCTACTCTTTAGTGCATTCCTAGAAGGGCACAAGCCAAAATATAGAAGACAAAGATTATTGGGGGAGAGGAGCACAGTAGATTATACTCTTTTGAAATAAATGTTTTGGTAGCTAGTCATTTTATGTTATTGCCAGATTAAATGTATGTAAAATACAGTTGCAATAGAAATGGAAGTCTAATACAATGAGATTTTCTTTAAATGACAGAAACTTTTCAATAGAATAAGAGCACTTGAAACCATTATCAGACCTTTCCAACATGTCCTAAAATCTGTGTAAACTTTAAGTGAAATGTTCTACTTAATGTCAAAAATACTTCTCTAAGGCTACTTTCAAACATAAAAAACGTAAGTCATGATATTATGGATGCAATTTCTTTAAATAACAAGGAGAGCTACTGTATTTATAAATTATTGTTTTTATCCAGGCAATCATTTGAGCAATTTTCACTACTACTCAAAAATGTCTTGCTACTGTAATGACACAAAGCAAAGGATTGTAATTTTGTGAGGGTCGAATTTGATAAATCTGTCATTTACCAGTGGTTAGCAACTAATTTGCAGAGATTTCTAATGCAGGGCATATCCCATTAATTTTAAAAATTCATTAATGTTTCTATGTGCCAGATGGCACAATGTAAGAAATGTTTGAAGTACACAGCAATTAAAACTCTGAAACATATAATAGCCTTGCTGGCAATTTGTTGTATATATTACATGTTAGAGCACCACAAAATGCTGGCTATATAATATATTGAAATTCTAAGAACATAAGTAAATAGATTAGGCTTAAGACAAATTCACATTCTGATTCTTAAAAACTGTAGAACCTTTCATTTAATTCTCCAAAGTTACAAGGCACAACTGCATTTCTAACTGATTGGAAAAGCACAGAATGATGTAGATAGACACCAAGCATTTAAAAATTTATCTTCAGAGGCCAATTGGGTGATTAGCCTTGGAATAGAAAACCATTAAAAAAAGAAATGCTCCTGCAAATGTCCTGTTAAAAGCAAGCATTTCAGGCCACAGATTCTGTGACAGATTACAGGTCACAGTGCAAAAATAACCTCGTGTGATCCCCATGTAAGGAGCTATTGACAACAACTACAGATCATATGTCTAGGCAGACAAATGGGAAAAATAATAGCTAACATATATTTAGCTTTTGCTATTTGTCAAGCACTAAGTATATTTTTAAAAGCAAGTATAGTTTTGAAATGTAGAAATTACAAAAATGCCAAATTTCAAATTTGATATCATATTATATGGGCTAGCATTTAAATCAGAACAGTAATTCATATGAGTTCACACTTATGACATTCACCAAAACAAATATACTGTGTGTTTATATATTGCTTATATACCTCAATTATCTAGTTAAGAAATAGTGCTCATCAAAGACTTATATGAATGATTTAAGAATGCATTTTTCAGCCCTCTTTCAACATTAACTAAAATACAGTTTGCCTTTTATTCCTATATTAATAGGTGAAAATGTCCCACTAAATTCAGAATATATTCAGTTCCATTAAATCATCTGCTTCGCTTGAATATAGTGTAAAATAGATATTGAAAATCTCCTGTTTTATGTGGAGCCAATCTGATTTTGAAGATGAAAATTTCTTCACCTCTAACAAGAAATAACAAAATGTTAAAACTTATGTTTAAGATCTACTGGGCACTGTGCACTAATTTAAAAACATTTTTTTCTAAAACGCCTATGCAGTAGATTTTTATTATACCAGTTTTACAGATGAAGAAACTGAAACTTAGGGAGGTTATATAATTTCCTAAAGGCCACAGAGCTAGTGACTTGGAAAATTAAACTTTAGAGCTTGTTCTAATTCTCAAGAAGTACTTTTGTTAAAAACGGTCTCTAGATTCAAACTGTCTGATCTGGAAAGCCAGGCGACAGCTGTGAGCTGCGTCTCTGTAGGAAAGACTGGACAGAGATCTCTAGATTTCTAGACATCTAGAAATTCTGTTTGACCTATACTTTATAAGGATGTAGCAAATATCATGAACTTACATTAAAATGAAATTCTATAAGGCATTTTTAAGAGGAATAGACACTAAAGATGTCATAATCTGGTTGAAAAATAGAACATTACATAATAGCAGCTTTAAATATGTCAAATTATAAACATATGCTGATATATGTATATACATACAAGTCAGAGAGAGATATAAATAGAAGGAGAATTAATAGAAAATCTGTGGGAGTACTTGGCTTAATAGCTTGAAAAGTAGGCATTAAAACTTAATAAATTTGAAATAAATTTTTTGGATTACTTTTCTAAATCATAATGTCTTAAAACATAGGCCATTTATGAAATATTTAAAAATCCAGTTATAGTAAAGACTACTGTAATTTAAATATTGCTTAATTTACTATCTGATTATAATACTAGTATAAAATATTATATATAGTGTCAAACTAAAAAAAAATAAATAAACTTGTGAATCTGATGAAGTTGGAAAAACCTGTTTCATTCTGTGCCTTAGCTATATAAACTATATTTGGAAAAGTTTCCAATACCATGTTATGAGCCCTGTCTTTTCAAATATCTGAAATTCAACCTAGCTCTAGCCCATTCATATATGATGCAAAAATAACCATAATCCATACTATTATACAATTTAGAAAAATGAATAATAAAATATTATTTTTAACAGACTATCTAAATATTAGCTTTTTGGTAATATGTATAAGGGTTTTATGAGACTACCATAAAAGCTCAGTTTGGAATATCATCAAATCATAGATAGTTTCTTTGATTATTGGTATGATCTCATGATTGATTTCAAGACAATAGAAATAAAAATCAGTTGTAAACAAAAAATTCAGATGGATTTGGATTAAATAGAAACTTCATATCTAATAAACCACACCCAGTTCATGAACTTTTTTTCTTTGTTTTTGGCTTAAACAACAAATTTATTTTCTCAAAATTCTGGAGGCTAGAAGCTCAAGGTCAAGGTGTTGGTTTCACTTGAGGCCTCTGTCTTTGGCTTGTAGATAGCCATCTCCTTGTGTCTTTTTACAAGGTCTTCTATGTGTTTATTGTCTATTGGTTTGTCGGAAAAGTCATGACGTATTTTGTCTATGTTTTTCAAAGGTTATTTATTTATATAAAGAATAAAGATCAATCAATGATATATTGCCCATTTTGTTCGATAACATTTGCCGTCTTTCAGTGAGCTTCATAATTCTTTGTTCATAGAAGGACCTGTCTTTATTGGTGAAAAACTGAGCAAAGTGCTGATTTACAGCCTCATCTGAATTGAACGTTATACCATGCAAGGAGTTTTGAAGAGAGCAAAACAGTGGAAGTCTGATGATGAGTATGGTGGGTCTGGCAACACATCCCATCCAAGCTCCAATAATTTTTGACAGGTGATCACACTTGTGTGTGGTCTCGCATTGTCACGATGGAACACAACTCCTTTACAATTAACAAGCTTTGGAAGTTTCTGGATGATGGATTCGTTCAAACTGTCCAATTGCTAACAGTACACATTCGAATTGATTGTTTGGTTCCTTGGTAGGAGCTCGAAAAACACGACACCTTTAAAAAATCCCACCGCACTGAGAGCATAACCTTCCTCTGATGAATGTCTGCTTTCAATGTCATTTGAGGTGAATCATCACATCGGGACCAAGACCGTTTGTGCACCACATTGTTGTAAACAATCCACTTCTCATCACCAGTTACCAGTCGCTTCAAAAAAGGATAATTTTCCTCATGTTTAATGAGCATATTGCAGATGTTTATGTGCACTGTCAAATGAACTTCTTTGAGTTCATGCAGAACCCAAATATGGAGCTTGCTTACGTATCCCAGCTTCTTCAGGTGGTCATGAATGTTTGAATGATGGATGTTCAATGTTTCTGCAATCTCTCGTGTTGTGTAACATGGGTTTGCCTCGATCAATGCCTTTATTTTGTCATCATCAACCTCGGTGGGCCTTCCTGACTGAGGAGCATCGTTGAGATCAAAATAACCAGCACGGAATTTCGTGAACCATTGTTGGCACTGATATTCTTGTAGAACATTGTAACTGTCAACTTTATGCACTAGTTATAAACTTGATGAAACATTTCCATGTAATTATTTCATGAACTATTTCCCAGCTGGACATTATTCTTTTCTAGGTCACCTGGGAATAACTAAAGGCACACTTAATTACTTTTTAAAAATAAAACAAAAACCAACAACCAACCAACTAAACAAACAAAAAACTTGCATTTCAAAGAAGAGTATTTTTGTGGTTATGAAATATGACACAAAAATAAATACAAAACTATTCTGTTCTTCCTTATTGCTCCTCTAAGGTATTATATTGATTTATCATAGAACTACAATACAGTCAAATCGTTACTAAAATATGTTACACTGAATTTTTAAAACAATAACAATAAAAGAACAGATATCTCTGGAAATCACTTCTTGTAATAAATTTAGCTAACTTTACAGAGGCCAAAAGTTTGCAAGCTTGTTAATGTTATGTTTAACACTGAAGACTGACAGCTGTTTTATGATCATTTTAAATCTAATGATAAATTCTAAAAAATAAAGATGAATAAACAGTTTTATTTTGCTAAATTATGAAGAGTTAAAATACCTAGGAAATCTTAACTTAAATAATTAAGCAGTTGTTCATATAATAACTAATCAAGTAAAAATATTAGCTATACAATTTTTATCTAAAGCATATCTAACCTTTCAACAACCCTTAGTAGTTATATTTATCCCAGTGTGAAGTAAAAAAGCCAAGAATAACAATGTTTAGATGCAGACTGTATTTCCCAAACTGTCTTCAGCAGTATTTTCCTCTCTATATGATCTTCCAGAAACTTGCCAACCCCATAAAGAGGAGGAGTCCATTTCCCTATTTGTGTGTATAAGTAAATCAACATCACTTTGTGGTGGTGATGTTTTGTCAAGATTAAACCTAGAGCCTCAAAGTGTCCTTTTCAGCTGGTCCTTCATGTTCTAGTTATAGCTGTCGTCCTTCTCTTTTCTATCAGCTCACTTTTTTTTTGTTGTTAAAGTTTACTGGGGTGACAATGGTTAGTAAAATTACATAGGTTTCAAGTGTACAATTCTGTAATACATCATCTATATATCACGTGTGTGTTCACCACCCAGAGTCAGTTCTCCTTCCATCACCATATGTTTGACCCCCTTGACCCTCCTCTACTATCCCTCCTCCCCTTTGCCCTCTGGTAAACACTAATCTATTGTCTTTTTCTATGAGTTTTTGTTTCTTTGTTTGTCTTGGCCCTTTGCTGCTTTCAGTTTTATATCTGCATATCATAAAAACACATGGCTCTCAACTTTTTCTGTCTGACTTATTTCGCTTAGCATTATAATCTCAAGATCTATCCATGTTGTCACAAATGGCACTATTTCATCTTTTCTTATGACAGAATAGTATTCCATTGTGTATATATATATCACATCTTCTTTATCCAGTCATCTATTCAAGGAGACTTAGGTTGTTTTCATGTCTTGGCCACCATAAATAAAACTGCAATGAACATCAGAGCACATAAATCTTTATGGATAAATGTTTTCATATTTTGGGGGTTTATACCTAGGAGAGGGGCTGCTGGGTCATATGGTAATCCTATTCTTAATTTTTTGAGGAACCTCCACACTGCCTTCCATAGTGGCTGCATCAACCTGCATTCCCACTAACCATGTATGAGGGTTCCTTCTTCTCCACAGCCTCTCCAACACTTGGTATTTCTTTTGTTGATGATAGCCAGTCCAACTGGTGTGAGGTGATATCTCATTGCGGTGTTTATTTGCATTTCTCTGATGATTAGTGATGTTGAGCATTTTTTCATATGTTTATTGGCCATCTGTATGTCCTCTTTGGAGAAATGCCTATTCAGGTCCTCTGCCCACTTTTTTGTTTTTTTTTTTTTTTTAGCTGAGCCATCCTGCCACCTGTTGGCATCTCAGTGGCAGCTCAGCTCTGGCTGGGAATTGAACCAGGGACCCTGTTGCTCAGAGCTTGCACTCTTGAGCGAGCTCTTAACCAACTGAGCCACTTGGCCGGCTCCTCTGCCCATTTTTAAATTGGATTGCTTGTCTTTTTGTTGTTGAGTTGTATGAGTTCCTTATGTGTTTTTAATATTAGCCTCTTATCGGAGGTGTTGTTTGCAAATATCTTCTCCCATTTGGTTGACTGACTCTTTATTTTGTCAGTCATTTCTTTAGCTGTGCAGGAGCTTTTTAGTTTGATGTAGTCCCATTCATTTATTTTACCTTTTATTTCCCTTTCCTTTGAGGGAAATTTCATTAAGTTGTCCGTGAACCCAAGGTCCATAAGTTTAGTACCTATGTTTTCTTCTATGCAGTTCATCGTTTCAGGTCTTATGTTTAAGTCTTTAATCCACATTGAGTTAATTTTGGTACATGGTGACAAATAACAGTTTAGTTTCATTCTTTTGCAGATGGCTTTCCAATTATCCTAGCACCATTTATTGAAGAGGCTTTCTTTTCTCCATTGTATATTTTTGGTTCCTTTGTCTAAAATTATCTTTTTCTATAAAGATCGAGCTGATGACTTCGAAGACGTACTGATGGTAACTGGCTGTCCCCTGCAGGTGATTCTGTTGCCTTAGACCAGGGATCGGCAAACTTTTGAGACGGAAGAGCTGCCGGGGGTCGGCAAACTGTGCTCATGACCCACATGCGGCTCTTTGGGTACGTGCATGTGGCTCTGAAGTAAAACTGAAAATGAAAATAAAACTATCACAGTTTCATTTATAATATTACTTTAAATTTTCCTTATTTGTAAAAATATATTTATGGCTCTTAAATAATTTTTAAATTGTTGCGAGGGGCAGGATTGACTCTTCCAGGGGTCAACAAACTTTTGAGATGGAATGTACCCAAAGACTTAGACTCATCCAGGTCAACATGCGTGGAAGTGCAGCGGTTATCTCCACTTTGGTTTTGCATCAGGTAAATGTATGTTCATTAGTGCAACACTCATTGTGTGATATAATATCATGTGGTGTTTATCTCACAAGCAAATATAGTGCCTTTGTATTTTACTTCAATTCTATATGAATATAGAGTCTTAAGTTATCACTAAAATTTTTTGATTAAACTGTACTTAATATGATAACAATATTTTTATGATTTGTTGTAGAGTTTCAAAAGTAGGGATGTAGACTGAGACACCTGAACAACTTTTCAGGTGTACAGAGACCAAGTCCAAAATCCAGACCTACTGAATCCTGATATCTGAGGGTGGGTCCTAGGCTGTGGTCAGCTTAAATAGTATTATAATTTCAAATGTTATCACTAATGCTCATGCTGGTTAAGAAGTATCTTTTGGTGTTACCAATGTATTTGGGGATTTGGAGAAACCATATATTGTCATATATATATATATATATATATATATATATATATATATATATATATTTAAAAAGGAAATTGAGAGTTTTTAAAAAATAATCTATTGAATTAAAATCCACATAATATTAAAATAATTAAAGTGAGCAATATTTCAGTGGCATTTGGTATACTCAACAATGTTATACAACTATTACCTCATTTACTTTTAATCACCTCTTTACTATGGTTTGTCTTCATTTCATTCAAAAGAATTCTGTCTTCTTGACTTTTTCATTTTTTTGTTCTTTCATCTTTCTGATTAACACCAGATGAACCTGTCTAACACTTTTGTGCTTGGCTTTGTGTCCATTCTCTGCAAAATGCACTGTGTGTCAAACATGGATATGGACATGGCTGAATTGAGAAACTGAAGGGGCATTTTTAGGAATACACATTGTTTTGTCTATAGAAGCAAAAGATAAGCGGAATGTCAAAGAATCTTATAAGACTCTCTGATGTAGAGGAGGCCTTTGTCTTACCTTCTTTTTCTTTGGCACAGGCAGATCATCAAACATGTGCCAGAATTCTGCTTGGCGGAAGCCCAGGAGCGATTCTCACAAGAATCTCTGTCAAAGTCCTATAGCTTATTATTCAGTGCTTTACATTCTTAAATGTTTTATCTCATCATAGAAAATTTAAGATCTAGTCTGAGAACCTACCCAGTAATGCCAAAAGTTATGGGCAGGAAGAGATGTTGCCTTACTCAATCAGACTTCAAGAACAAAAGGTAGTTTACTAGAGTGAAAACAACCCTGGACTAAGAGAGAAAGTATTCCATGCTCTAGCCTGAGCTCTGGGACACTAATGGTGTGTGGGTGAGTGGTTTCTCCTTCCTTGATT